CCGCACACGCACGTCCGCACACACACATTCCTGTTATTCCAAAATTTAATACATACTAACAAATCGTATTCGTATTTTTCATTGTTATTAACATCCGTGTGTTGCTCATTCTTACAGCTAGCACTACGAGCCATTGGCTTGCCGTTAATGACACCAAGGACTTTCTTAAAATACTTCTTGATAATACCCATAACACATGTTCAAGTTGTAACTTACAGATTTTGTAAGATCCAGGCTGTTACCGCCGTTGCTGTACATGTCCAGTTCCAGAGCTGTGATTTCTCCTTCGGATGTGAAGCCAACCTGACAACGATATAAGGACAAGCAGAGCAATGACCTTTGATCCTCAGCTTTCCAAAGAGGTAGCTATTTGTGACTAATTGGACCCTCTTGCCAGCATCGTGTGTGGTGACATGGTGAAATGGTATAGGTTCAATGCCCCTATCTCCGAGTCACACGTCCATCTCCCAAAGGACCAGGTCAAGTGGGAAATTCGTGTAAAGTGCCTTTCCCAATGACACAATCTCAAGATTACCGGTCCGGTAGCCTATCGAGTGTTGTTCAAGCAACCCTAAAATTACAGATTGTTATTTAGATTTACAAAAGCATATCTTTGAAGCATTAACCAGTAACATAATATAGATGTTGAAACTGTCTGAGTACAACTTGGCAAATTTACTCGTAGAAAAAAATGATCTACTACTTAAACTCCAACAATGAATCATTTGTACTGCTTTCCTTAAAAAAGGAGTAACGTTGTTACTCTTCTTAGTTAGGAGTCAGGGATACCTAGACCGCATACCAAAAAGATTGTGAATCAACACAAACTATTGCATTGTGCTAATTCTCAGAAACATAATGAAAATAATAAGATAGTTTTTATCTGTACGCAGACAATACATGAATGAAAGTAACTACTAAACAAACAGCTGTGTTTATTTCATTTTTTTAGAGATAAGAACTATTTATTACTGAAGTTTCTACAATTCTTGATGGAAAAAATGTGACTGTCAGCAATTTAGTTCCTACGGTTTTCCTGTCGTGACTCACTTTGTATTGTCCTAGGTACGGGTGTCTGTTGCCTGTGACGATCATGTCATCATCTCTGTCCAGAGCACAGCGGACAATCCTGCCGAGTCTTGCGGAGACAAAACAAAACTTACCCATGAGTAAAAATGAACCTCAAAATATGCTGAGTGCTATATTGCACCAGCTCCATTTTGGTTTTTTTTTGATAAAATGATTCTAAAAGCATTAAATTATAGTCTCTAAAACAGGTGTTACTTCAAAATAAACTGAACAACTACTGGACAAGGAACAATGTCTGAAACATCCCAGCATACCAAGCTTCATTAACTGTGTAGTGTTGGGCCTAACGGGAAGTTGTTTTTGTTTCCAGTTCATTGACATTTATGACAAGAACTTTTAAAGCCGGACATTGGGGTAAATACAAGATAGCTCTCAGCTCACAACATGGCTTCTATTAGAGAAAACGATGATCAAGTTAAGCAACCGTAAATAAATTTTGAAGGATTGGATAGACACTCATTGATACCCGCCATGGGAATCCAAACCGAAGTAGACTGAAATACACGTATTTTGTGGTAAGGTGAACTAGGGTTTCGAATGGGCTGGGACGATACTGGGTGTGCAAAGGCAGACACATGCTCTCAGGCTTTTCTTCTCATAACATTATTAAACCGCTCCGTTTAGGTTAAATTTTGACTTGTGTAAATAACCACATTGGACATATTCGGCAGTAGTAGCAACATTTTATATAGAAAGATAGAAGGAGGTAAGCGGTTTTCAGGGTGGGGCATCATTTTTAGGTCCTACTTCAACATTTAATCTTTTGTTCGTTTCGGTCCAAGTAGCTCTTACTGAGTCAATGCTCTTGTCACTACAGAACAGATAAATTGATTGACGTAAAGAAGTATAGATAGGTAAATAAAACACTCACATACGTATTAAAGAAAAGCATACACACACAAGCATCTATCTATATTCTATCTAAACACATATACACAAACACACACAAACACACACACACACACACACACACACACACACACACACAGAGTGAGATAGATAGATAGATAGATAGATAGATAGAT